GACTCAGCGTAAGTCGCAAGCCCACTCTAAAACCAATCACTGTGGCCAGAGGGATGGAATAAATAATTGGCTAGACCTGGGTCACACACTTGCCTCTATTAATCTAAGTGAAATGGTCTGAGAAGAGAGGGAGGTGATTCTCAAAAGAAAGTGAAGGGCTGGGGATTTAGCTCAGTGGTTCCACCACCTGCCTCATAAGCACAAGGTCCTGAGTTCAATCCCCGGTACCAAAAAAAAAAAAAAAAGTGAAGATGCTCCAACTAGAAGAGGCACGGATGCTGAGCAGACCAAAACCACTTGGCTGTGGGGCCTGGGATAGGAAACCAAACCTCTGGAGCATCTCTGTCCCCTCTTCCAATTCTACTCAGACTAATGATTACTGAGTAATTGCTGGTGGGCCAGGCCTGATGCTAAGCATTTCAGATGAGTATTTGGTATATACCATTATTTCCTCCACTTTACAGATAAACCAAGATTCACAAAGCAAAAGAGCTTTCCCAGGGTCACAGAAACTAGATGTTGTAGACCTAGAATTTGAACCCAGATTTGACACAATAGCACACATCACTGTGCCGAGATGCCTTTCGGTGGGAGCCCAGCTTATAGTGCTGTGAGGATTAAAAGAAATATAATAAGAGTGCAGCCAATATTTATTGTACTCTTTGCATACTTACCAAGTGCCAGACCCTGAGCCAGATGTTCTGTGTGGATGCATATTTAATCCTTCCAACAATGTTCCCATTCCTAAAAACATCTAGCACAGCCCCTACCCAGTAGGTGCTCAATGGTAGTTCTCCTTTTATGCTCTTGACTTCCTCTTCATGTTGGTTACAGCTTCCTCCCAGTGTTTGCCCCTCTTTTTTTCAGGCCCAGGGCCCTTGTGCCTGGCGATTAGCATTAGATGGGATTAGCATCGAAGCACCTTGGAGTTTCCACCTGAGTAACTTCAGACATGGTCACATCTCCAGGGTACTGGGGTTTACCCTGCTGGGGGTGTGAGAGGTAGAAGTTTCGTGAGTCCAAGGCTGGCAAGCAAGCTGGTGTAAGAAGCAGATATTTCTTCTGGTTTCCCCTTCAACTCCCAGATTGCTTCCCGTGTGAAGCTACTTTTTCACTGTCTTTGACTCTTCCTTTGTGCTCTGGCTAAGTGCCAGGATTTGCCAATTCTCCTAAGTGATTATTATTGCCTGAGATCTTTGTTGAAAAAATTGATCCAGTTTTTTTCATTGGAAATGAGGGTAGGGATTGTATCTTTCATTTTTGTATTCCAATGACTTGATACTATTTATTTATCCATCAAAGTGCTGGGAATTGAATCCAGAGCCTCATTCCTGCTAGGCAAGTGCTCTGCCACTGAGATCCATCCACAGCTCTTTTTTTATTTTACTTTTGAGACAAGGTCTTGCTAATTGCTAATTGCCTCAAACTTTTGATCCTTTTGCTTCAGCTTCCTGAGTATCTGGAATTATAGATATATGCCACCCACATGTTGTATCTGGCTAAACCCACATGTTGTATGTATGTATGTATTTGAGACAGAATCTCAATATGTAGTAGTTCAGACTGGCCTTGAACTCACTAAATACCCCAGGCTGGCCTTGAACTCATGGCAATTGTCCTGCCTTAGCCTCCCAAGTGCTGGAACTACAGGCATATGTCACCATGCCCAGCTTAAATGCATATTTAATTGTACTTAATGATAGTAATAATTCATTCAAAGCCTTCTGTGTACCAGTTACTTTATTAGTCAAGTTTAATTTTTCCAACAACTGTGTGTTATGGCTACTAATTTTATTTATTTATTTATTTATTTATTTATTTATTTTGGTACCGGGGATCGAACTTGGGACCTTGCGGCTACTAATTATATTTAATAGAAGAGAAAAGTATGGTTTGTGTAAAGTCACAGTGTTAGCAAATGACTAAATGGTAAGCTAGAAAGTAGCCTGGACCTCTCTTGGACTTCAGCCCAACAGCCTATTTGACATATCCACTTGAATATCCAATGTGATCTCAAAATTAACATGTCTAAGGCTGGATTCCGGGGTCTACTTCCTTCCAACCTGTTCATTGATTATATCTGCATCTTTCAGTTGCTGGGGTTAAAACTCTTGAACTGTCCTTAACATCTTTCTCTCTACCCTGTTTCCAATCCCTGCACGTACTTAATCATGTCTCCCTTCAAGATACCACCGAACTGACCACTCCCTACTCCTTCCACACTTCCATTCTGGTCTAAGCTGCTGCCATCACCACCTGTATGGCTATAATGCTAGTCTCCCTGATTTCCTAGCTTTTGCTTTTGCTCCCTTTAATTTGTTTTCAGCAGAATCAGATGTGTCAGCTCGCTGCTCAAAACACTGCTGTGGGTAAATTGATGAGTAAAAGCTGAAGTCCCTACTCTGAGCCACAAGGCACTGTCTGAGCTGGCTGCCTGAGCAAAGGTTCACCTCTTTCCTGTCTAGCCACTTCCGTAGCTGTGTAAACCACACGCTGCACGCCAGGGCCTGCACAGGGCTGCTTACTCTACCTGGAAATCTCTTCCCTCTTCCCTGAATACCCATGACTTGGTTTCAGTTCTCTTTCAAGTCTTTAGCTGAATGCCATTTTCTCCTTGGAGTTTAGTATCAGTTAAGATGCCATATATTCTGGTTTATTGTCCATGTCCCCACTAAAAAATATGATCCATTATGCTAGGATTTTGATCAGTTTTGTTCATGTCTGATTCTCTAGCTCCTTTAATAATTCCTGGCACATATTTGGCACTTGATAAATATTTGTTGAATAAATAGGCTGGGCATGGTGACCCACACCTGTAATCCCAGCACTTGGGAGGCTGAGGCAAGATCATTGCCTCCAGTTTTTAAATTTATTTTTATTTATTTTTATTTTATTTATTTTTTGTTTTCATTGCCTCCAGTTTGAGGCCAGTTTGAGGCCAGCTTGGGCTACATAGAGAGTTCAAGGCTAGTCTGAACTATATAGTGAGACCCTGCCTCAAAAATAAATCATGTCAACCAGGCATGGTAGATTACATGCCTGTAATCAGAGCAGTTGGGAGGCTAATACAGGAGGATTGCCATGAGTTCAAGGCCAGCTTGGGCTACATAGTGAGACCCTATCTCAAAAAAAAAAAAAAAAATCATGTCATCTACAAATAGAGATAATTTTACCACTTCCTTTTCAATCTGGACCCTATAATCTTCTTATGTTGTCTTTTAGTTCTTCTCACACATCACCTTTAAACTTCCTAGTGTTCTGCTTTCAATTTTCTGAGACCTGTGTTTTAAGCCAAGTTTATTGCTCATCTTTTCCTGTTTTTTCAGGTACAAAACCCTCTGAAGAAATGATAAATTAAAATGAAATAATAAATATGAAAATTATGTTTTTTCCTCTGTATTTATCATGTGTCAGGTCCTCAAACAACAGGGCCATTGTAATGATTAACTTCAGAGGGTGCCAATCATATAGAAAACATTATAAACAATGTCTCCTGGAGATGTGCAGCGAGGTCGTCCTGATACCAAATGCTCGTCCTGAATCCTCACAGTAACATGAGAATGATATTACTAATTCTATTTTAGGGCTGAGAAAATTGGGGTTCATAGTAGTGAAGTGATTTAAAATCATTTAATTGGTAAGTTTTACAGTCTATATTTGAATCCATCTTTCCAATTCCTTTATATTTAAATGTCTTTCGAAAATATGACCTAAAAATGTAAACAATATTTACCTTGAAAAAGTAATACATGCAGATGATAAAAATGTCAACAGGGGCAAGGTTGGGGATATAGCACAATGGTAGAGCCCTTGCCTAACATGCACAAGGTCTTGGGTTGGCTTCCCAGGCCTGCCAATAGAAAAAAGAAGAAAGAAAAATAAATAAATACAGCATGAGAGAATATACAGTGAGAAGTAGTCCTTCCTAGTGTCATGTCCCATGCCCAGAGATAGTCACTATTATTATTATTATTTTTTTTTTTTTGATACCGGGGATTGAACTCAGGATCTTGCACTTGCAAGGTGGCACCACTGAGCTAAATCCCCAGCCTTAGTCACTATTATTAGTTTCTGGTGTTTCCTTCCAGTACATTTTATTCATATCTCAATATATAGATTTATAGTCATAAATCCTCATTTAAAACCTATACAAAGCCAGGCATGGAGGCACAAACCTGTAATCCCAGAATTTGGGAGGGTGAGACAGGAGGGTTGCTGTGAGTTTGAGGCCAACCTGAACTATACAGTGAGTTCAAGGCCAGCCTGAACTACATAGTGATAGTCTGTCTCAAAAGTCAAATGATAAAAAAAATTTTAAAAAACATCCACACTCCCATTTAGTGATTGTTATATATCTTACTTGAAAAAAAAAAAGTTAACAATGAACTGTGGAGGTTCTTCCACAACAACACATCTAGATCTACTGCATTCTTTTTTTTTCTTTCTTTTCTTTTCATTTTTCCCTCCTACCTTAGCCTCCCTCATTGCTGGGATTACACATGTATGCCACTGTCCCAGGAATTACCTCATTCTTTTTTTTTTTTGGTACCAGGGATCAAACTTGGGTCCTTGCGCTTGTGCACCAGGCAGCGAAACCACTGAGCTAAATCCGTGGCCCTACCTCATTCAAGGAACGAAGTCTTTTTTTTTTTTTGGTACTGGGGATCAAACTCGGGTCGTTGTACTTGCACAGCAGGAGGCAAAACCACTGAGCTAAATCCCCGGCCCCTACCTCATTCTTTTTAACAGCTGGATACTCTTCTATTTTCCTGAAACAGTATACTACTAAGGCATATTTAGGTTGTTTCACCTTTTGCTGTTACAGCAATTCTTCAGCAAAAATCCTCATGTGGAATTTATTTGTACATGCCAAGCTGCCTTGGGAAATACTTTGAAGAGAAAAAAGAAGTATACAAGGGCAAGGATGATTATGATTTATGATAAGGATGATTGACGTTCCTAACCATCACTGCTCTCTGGTGGACAGGAAAGCCTCCCACCTTTTGCTTTAGCAGTGGGAAAGCAGCATATTTTGGGATCTGGCTTGGAGGAGACAGCATTGTCCAAATGGGTTTGGCATCGTTGGCCTCAGCCTGGCTAAGCCAAGATGGCGGCCTGTTTGGGAGTAGGGTGTTGAGGAACATGTTCTGCTGGGCAGCACACTGGCTGCAGTGATAACCAGAAGCCAGCCTCTGGAGATGACCTTCCCGGTCAGGATGCATGGTTGTTTAGCTAGATTGGGTGCTGACCTGTTCTGACCACGAGAGAGCAGTGGTGAGCTGCCTAGCGTTTTGCCAGGCTCTGGGAGGGAAGCCCTCCTCCCCGTGTACTAGGAGCTCATGTCTGGAGCAGCTTCCCAGAGGATTGGGTGGCGAGGTAAATTCTCCTATTCCTCAAGAAGGAAGATGTATTAGAGGAAATATAGTTGAATATGATTTGAGGACACTATAGGAGAAGGTAAAATCAAGGTGGACCATCTCCAAAGAAAATAGCTTTATTATTTTTTTCATTAATATAGTACATGCACATTATGAAAAGTAACAATACACAAAAGTGTAAAGCTCACCTGACATCCCATGGCTCTAGATGACCATGTCCACATTTTTGGCAATATTTTTATAGGCTGCTTTTTTGTTTTTAACTGAGAAAATGTTGTAGATATCTATCCTTGTCAATTCCTTTAATGTTTGAGGCCTCAGGACTTGTACTTACATAAATGCTTCATAAATTTTTCTACCTAAGTAACCCCAAAGGCAGAGAAGATGGATGCTTTTCCAGGCAGGTGGTGTGAGACTGTGTATGTGTGTGTGTGTTGGGGGCTGGAATATAAGACAGTAGAAGAAACTTCTTTGAAACATTGGGCTTTTACCTTAAAACTTTTAGGGAAATTTTGCATTATACCCCATAACATTTTGCATTCTACTTCATGCTTGTTTTTTAAAAATATTGTGCCTAGGGCCGGGAATTTAGCTCAGTGATTCCACCGCCTGCCTTGCAAGCACAAGGTCCTGAGTTCAATCCCTGGTACCAAAAAAAAATTGTGCCTTTTCTCCTCCACATCTTCATAACATTCCATTGTATGTATGTACATTATCTAAAAAGCAAAACACGGTGTTGGACATTTAAGTCATTTTCAATTTTTCTCTAACATAAACATTATTGAAACAAGCATCCTTATGGCTAGCATTTTCTCTTGTCTGATTATATCATTAGAAAAGAGCTCCTGAATGGGCACTTTAAAAAATAAAGATGTTGTGCTCGCTTTGGCAGCACATGTACTAAAATTGGAATGATAAAAAATAAAGATGTTCCTTTGTTCCTCAGTGCTTTTGGAAAATTGGTTCAGGTAAGATGAAATGGTGCTGATGGCAAGAAGGGCTGTACCCTTAGGCTTCTTTCTCTATTCCTGGCTGGGACCAACCAGTGGAGTGGCTCTGGGCTTGGACTCAGCCCTTCTGCATTTACACACACTGGTTACCTGGCTTCTCGGAGCCTAGTGCTATGCTAAGCTCTTATTTCTGCCTTATCTCATCAGTCTTCCCAACAACCCAGTAAGGTAAGCATTATTATTCTCATTTTACAGAGGAGGAAGCCAGTCCTGGGAACCCAGGTGTCTTGGCCAAGGTTATCCAGCTTATAATCAGTGGGTGTCGCCATTCAGGGAGCCCCAGGTGTTTGTTGTCAGTTTAGTGAACAGGACACCTTAGCTGCAGACTTCTTCCTAGGATAGTTGTCTAAAAACCTTTTAGTCGAAAGTAAAAACAAAAACCAAAACAGCACTAGAGCTATTTTAGGTTTTTTTAAAAAAAGGAGGAGTAATGAGGGGGGAGGGAATTTCACGAACAGTAAGAAGTCTCATGGAGCCCAAGAGGAGGAGTAATTAGTCTCATGAGGATGAGGAAGCAGCACTCTCTCTGTTTTGCTCTCTCTCTGGGAAAGCCTGTGCTTCTCCAAGTGCATCTGTGTCATTCTTCTTCAGCAGAACAACATCTCTGCTGTGCCATGAATGTGACCAATGTGACCTTCTCCCAGCTCCCAATTTTGCATCCCCTCCATTTAAGCCCGAAGGTTAGACTGAACTAGGATTTCTCATCCTAAACCCAAATCCCAAAGAGAAAGAATCTGATTTGATTACCTTGCCCCTCCTGGTCCAACCAGCTGTGGCTTTGGGGACAGGGCTGGGTGTTAGTGTAGTTTGTGGGTAAGGATTTTAGAGAAAGGGGGTTATCGAGGGCTTGCAGATTCCTCTAAAGGTATAGGTAGGTATATACTATGGCTCCCTGTCTATAAAACACAAATATTAATCAAGACTCCTTTGGATGTAAGTAATGGAGACCCAGCTGGAGCTGACTTCAATGCAAAAAGGAATTTATTATCTTGAACAGAAAAGTCAAGGCTTAGTTTTTTTTTTTTTTTTTTTTGGTACCAGGGATTTAGCTCCAGACCTTGCCCTTTCGAGGCAGGCGGCAGAACCACTGAGCTAAATCCCCGGCCCTCAATGGCTTAGTTTTGTGCCCAGCTGGATTCACTTGCTCAAAAATTGCCAGGAACCTAGCCATCTCTATCGCTCGGTTAGACCTTTTCCTATGAGTGCTTCATTCTTAAGGAGACTTTTCCCTATCAGTAGTGGTGGTAATATGGCCACTAGCAGCTCTAACTTCTGTTCTCATGACAGAACTTCCTTGAAGGGAAGGAAATTCCCCCTTCTATCAGTTTCGGTTCTGATTATCTTTGATTGGACTGTAGTACTCCTGAAGGAATCCCCGTGGCCAGGGGAAAGCTGTCTCTGATTGGCAAGCCCTGAAGTGATCATTCCAAAGCTGAAGTGAGTTAGCCACACTGAGGGAAGGAGGGAGATTTCCTTAAATGAACAACAAGATGCTATTAACAGAGATTCCAGCGATGCATGCATGGAAGCATAGGCCTGTAATCCCAACTACTTGGGAGGCTAAGGGAGGAAGATCATAAGTTTAAGGCCAGCCTGGGTAATTTATGAGACTGTCTTAAAGTAAAAAGAGCCAGGGTATAGTTTAGTGGTAGAGGCCTGCTTATCATGTGTGAGGCTCTGGATTCCATCTCCAGTATCTCAAAAACAAACAAAAACACCCCCCTCAAATCCCAGGGATTCCAGAACCTATTATTTAGAAACAGCAGACTAAGGTTTGTACCAGTAACCTCCAAGGATATATTAAAGGAGGCTGGGGGAGGGTGAGGAGAAGCCTTTCATTGTTTTATTCACTATACACTTATCCAGGGTTCTATGTGTGCCCAGTTCTGTGTTCTGGGGATGCAAGTCAATTATACTGACCAGAGCTTTGCTCTCATGGTGCTTAAATTCCAAGTACTGGACCACAAATATGTTTCTTGAGTACCTACTATGTACGAAACACTGTTCCAATCTCATTTCCTCCCTCCATGTGAAGAGAGATAAAATGTGGCCTTTTGCTCAAGAAGTTTACAATATACCAAGGCAGATAAAATAATGATAAGTAACAAGAGCAAACAAATGGCAAATGCCCAGAGAGTTATCCAAACAGGAAAGTGTTCTGGGAGAACATGCAGGATAAGGAGGAATACCACCGTTACTGGCGACAACCGTGGGTAACATTCAGTGGGTGCTCACTGTGCTCACAGCTTTCTAAATGGTACCTCATTTAATCCTAATTACAACCCAAAGGGGAAAGTAGTCCATTTTATAGAGGGAAGTATTGAGGCTCAAAGAGGTGAACTGACTTACTGGAGAGCACACAAGGAAGAAGTCACAGAGTCAGCATCTGAACCCAGGTCTGCCTGGCTTCGGAGCCCAAACCATTTAGCTATTACATAGTCCTGGGCTTGGAAAGAAGCCCGGGAGCTGTCGGGCTGGGGAACGTGGTCCTGTGGCATAACTGGGGAGGAAAGAGCCATCCAGGGCAGGCTTTGTTCTTCTCTCCATGCAGAGGGCTTTCTGTGCTTCTGCGTGCATACAGCAGGAAGAGGCTGTCTCGAGCTTTGGGTCTGTCCAGAGCCTAAACCTGACTCCTTGGCATCCACTGCAAACTGGTAGCCCTGCAGGCCAAATATGATGCCAAAAATATGCTTAGCCTGTGGTAGAAGAATGAATTAGTGCCCAAAATTCAAAAATTGGGAAATTTCACATAAAAATCAGAATATTTGACAACTCTGGGCCTATATTCCCATGGCAACCATCTGCAAGAGCAGAGTAGTAGCTGCTGCCTGTAGCCCAGGCACACTCCCCACTGCCGAGATTGCTGTTACTTCTTAGTGTCCCTCCTTGGGCTGTTTTGTTTTCTTTACTGTTGTGACCCTTGGGGGCATCTGAACTAGTCACTATGTCCCAGTTTCAGAGTCCCAAGAGACAAAATTCAGCCCAGCTTGGGTCAGATGTGTGTCCCTGGTTTGAAGCACTGTGGCCATAGCAGGGCAGGCTTCAGTGAGGACAACATGGGGTGCAGGGCACCTCTTCAGCAAGGCCTGTGGGTAACAGTGATTCTCAGAAAAAAAGGCTGCAGTTGGGCAGACAGTCTGAGAGGAGTGTAGTACACAGAGGGAGGAAATTAAGGCCTTGAGCCTACTTATTATACAAGACATGTAATAATCCAGGCTGTGGGTCATGATGAGGGCCTCTACTGATGCAGGAACAGTAGGCATGGAGGGCAATGGCAGAGGGGCAGTTTAGTTAAGAGATGTTAAGAACAAGGTATTTTGTAGGGTGGGCTGGGCTGGGAGGGGGTGAGCCCCTTGGTTTAGGGAACAAGGTGAAAGGTGGTGTAGTTCATCAAGATTCAGAACCCAGGGAAAGAGTTCACTTTTTGTCATTTTGAGTGGGCTGGGTGGTGCCCAGGTTCATGCAGGTAGAGCTACCTGGGAGCAGGTACCTTTAGGGGGTGCGGAGGAGAGGTGGGCTGGAGATATGGATTAAGTTACCAGCGAAGAGGAAAGGTTTGAAGCCACAGCTGCAGCTAAATGTTGGAGGGGCATGAGGAGTAGGAAGGGATGAGGGCTAACAGCAGAACCCTGAGGTTTAAGGAATGGGGAGTCACCAAAAGTGCTGGTTGCAGAAGGAGGATGACCAGTTGTGGAAGCTTTTCAGGATCCCAAGAAGGACAGTTTAAAGGGAAGAGTGGTCAGCACCACCAAGTGTTTAAAGAGAGCAAGAAGGAAGAGAGCCTTTTGGATTTGGCAATCAAGAGATCATCAATGAATCAGGCATGGTGGGGCA